TACAAGCACGTGATTCCAATAAACTTTGTTTTATGGCTTGAGAGTTGACAAGCCAAAATATAATTCCCACCATAAATTAGGTTAAGAGCATACAAGTGCAGATGCTTGATTCCAGGAGCAGCGATAGGAAAGTGAGAGGCTCCAGCCAGCGGCCGGCTGGGCTCAGAAGGAGAGAATTCTACTTCCAGCTCCCCTGCCCGCTGAGAGAAGAAAACAGTAAGTCACTTAGCACTTTTTCTGGGACAACTCCAGAGGTGGGGGGGTTTCTCTATCCGGTCTTTTGGGCCTTGGGTGAGAAGTCTAAAAGGAAGTTAATTATAATTTTAGCCTTCACCTGAATTAGAAAATATAAGGGGAATCCTGGTTTTTCTCCTCCCTCCTGAACATATAAAGTTAAGAATGAAAGCGTCCACCTCCCTCACAGAGACACTTACTGTCTGTCTCTTCCCCATAGTGGAGCCTCTGCTTCAGAATCAAAAAAGGTGGGAAGCTGAGTGAGGAGAGAGAGAGATCAGATGAAGAAGGAGATGGATTTCTCAGAAAAGATTACGATCCTGGAATTAAACTAGAGAAGACTGAAAACTTAAAGCTGAGCGCCAGCATCTGTGAAGACCACTGCTTTGGAAGGTGGTTCCTGAGTTCTCTAGCAGTAGTGCTGAGAAATTGATGCCATACCCACAGAACAGGATAACAATCTAAAGCATTGCAATTTACCCTTAAAACCATTGATTTTCCTCCTCCTCGGTTATCATTTGGGTCCACATTTCCCTTGTAAATTGCTCTTTGTTTTGAATTAGAGCAAAAATGAGAAGGCAAGCCCCAGTTCTGTCAGGTCATTCTTGGGGAGAGGAGATGCTGGTTGAGACTGCGAGCTTGGAACTAACCTGAGACTGGAGCGAAGAATTGCTCCCAACTCAAAAGGGAGAGAGTGCTAGGCTGGGTGACCGATGGGATGGGTGTTGCCCCCTTCCCCCCCCCACCCCGGCACACTTGTGCCCACTCAGCCGATTGCGTAGAAACACACAAAGGCCCATTTTCACTTGCTTCTTGGTTTCCCCACCGGGAAAACCCTGCTACAGGCAGCCTGAGCCAGGCCAAGCTGACAGTAGGATTCAGCTCATGGGTGCGGGGAGTGAAGGAGATGGGGAGCCCTGCTCTCAGACCGGGTAGAATTCCGGTCAGAACTGTGAATCTTTGACTCTGTGGAGAACTTTGTCCCAATGCCTGGGGGCGGGCACCCTGAAGCAGAGGGGAGGTTTGGGTACTGGGTGGGGTGTCTGGGCCTTGTCATTTTTATGTGTAGCATCCATCTGTGCTTTACTATACTGTGGCGTTTAAGTGTCCCCGTTTTTCATTGCAACAGGTTCTGGACCACGAGGGAGCAGCGCTGGTAAGTACCTTCCCGTTTCTTTCGAATTGGGAGGCAGTTCTGATCCCCGGGGAGGTGGGTGAAGGACTGCACCAGCCAACGGGGTGGGCGAATGCCCAGTGAGATGGCTCTGGGAGGCAGAGGCCCCAAGTTAGGCTGCTGGAGGGCCTTTCTCGGGCCTAGTTCGTAGTCACCTGCCCGAGGGAGCGCGTCGCGGGACCTTGCTGGCCTCTCCCGACCTCCCAGGGCCTGGCCAGGCCACACAGGTACAGCTCTGCCGCCCTGCACACTGCTATGAAGAACTTGCAGCTAATTAGCAGCCCGCCCTATTAACGGATTGGGGAGCGTCGCCTCCAGATTCCACCAACCTAGTGAACACCAAGGCAGCTCGAGTCCCCTCCGCAGTGCAGCTCGGCCCACCCTTCCCTTGATTTTTGTGTGTTCTTAATCAAAAAGGACTTAACCGTCTGGTCTGACCGTCTGACCGTGGGTGTGTTGGATTGGCCTGTTTCTGGGAAGGGTTGCAGATCCTGAGCTTTATGAACACACTTCCCCATCCCTACCCCTGGCCCCCTGCCCTCAGTCCTAGCTTCCTGGGCTGGGGGCTTCAGCTGAGCAGAAGGGGCTCCAGTCCTTCTCATTCACCATTGCTTCTCTGCAACTGTGGTTCAAGAGTTTACGAATGACCACGCAGGAACCACGGGAGAAGTGGGAGTCTGGGTGGGTTCGGTGGGGGCCGACTCCTAGGCCCATAGACTTGGAACTCCTGATCCTTTATGCGCCAAAGGAGACAGGTATATTTCTGAGGAGGCTTATGACATCTTCAGGAAGACCAGGTCATTACAATTAATAGGGTAATAGTGATTTCCCCCCCCCCTCCATAGGTGGGGAGAGTCCAGGGGGAAGTGGCCCATCCCTCTCTGAAAAATAAAAGCGATTTTGTTTTTATGGGAAATGGAATATGTGCGAGTGGCAAGAACCGGACACCCACACCTCGGATGAGAAGCCCTCTCTCCTGGGTCAGAGAAGCTGAGGCTTGGCGGTGGGCCAGGCTCATTGCCCTAAAGGGCTGGGCAGTGAGTGGTCTCCTGGGAGTTTTGCTCACCCCTTTTCCAGGAGATCTTGCTCGGAATGTCGTTCCTCTCTGAGCAGTAGACCAGCTCAAGTGAACCAGGATCTGGACTCCAGGCTGGAAAATCTGGCGTCCCCAGGACCCAGGTCTTATCTCCACCCCCACCCTGGCTCTGGGTGCTTATCTCTGTTGAGGCTCCTGGCTTGCAAGGCACCCTGGAGCTGAACACAGCACAAAAAGCCCGAGAGATCAAAAGCATTTGTATGGGCAGTTGAGCGGGAGGTGAATATTTAACGCTTTTGTTCATCAATAACTCGTTGGCTTTGACCTGTCTGAACAAGTCGAGCAATAAGGTGAAATGCAGGTCACAGCGTCTAACAAATATGAAAATGTGCACCCTCATCCCATTCCCTACCCGGCCCAGCAGGCTCCTTGATTTGTCTAAATAAATCCCAGGCCCTGTGTCTTGGAGGAAGGTGGGTGCATGGAAATGCTTTGGCATTAGGGTCAATTGTTGGGAGGGGGGGTTCTTGGGATTGAGAGTGGGGCAATCTCCTTGTTATAACTGACATCCTGGCAATTCCTATGAAATAGTTAGAGTAGATAAGCCAGTGGATTAGCAGGTAAACAAAATGTGCCAGTTTTGCCAGGCTTCTCTCTCTCTCTCTCTGTCTGTGTGTGTGCACACGCATGAGTGTGTGAGAGAGAGTGACTTCCCTATTTCAACCCACGAGGCCTAATCTGTGGCTTGAAAGTAATTTCTACATAATGGCAAAAAAAGGGAAAACTAAAAAAAAAAAAAACCCACCCCAAATTTAAAACAAACATTCACCTTTGCTTTATAGTTAGAGATCCAAAAGCCAATTTGTGTCTTCTCCCGAAATCGGCCCAATTTTGAGCACTGGGCTCCCAGAACTGAGGGACAGGGGCAAGCCAGAGAGGGGAAGCCAGGGACAGCTCAGGGGTGGGAGCAGTTCATGAACTTTCTTACTTTTGGATGCAGCTGTAGGCAAAGCAAAAAGAATGGAACTTTGTGGTATGTTTGTAAATTATTTTGAATGACCCCCTCACCTTGCCCTTCACCTCTAGCACACCGCCCCAGCCCAGGGCTGCTCGGTTCCAGGGAGGAGTGCCTGCCTCCAGGTCTGCAACAGCAGCAGCGGTGAGGGACAGAAGAGGACAGCCTGGTTCAGGGCCCAGGAAGGTAAAGGCACAACTTCTTGGAGAACTAGCTTTGGCAGCCATCCTGGAGTATTAGAAGAAACAAGCAGTGGCTTTTTCTCTCTATTGCTTGTTTCTTCTATGGAGGAGGGCATTTATTAATTTCTGGAGAATGCTGCATGGTAAGGGGATTATTTGCATCCTGAGAGGTGGGTAATGATAATCCTCCATCTCTGAGGTGGATTATTTTTCATTCTTTTCTTTTCAAGAATGCCCTTGCTGCTCGGTAGCCCTGGCCATGACACGAGGACCTGGGAAACTCGTTGCAGCAAATTGTCACCAAGTTACCTGATCTGTGCCTGAAAGCCATTTACTTCTCGGGTTTACTTCATGGCGGTGGTGGCTGAGAGGAAGAGGCCGGGCTGGTCAGGGTACCCATTCTGGGTTGTAACGTTGTCTATATATACCCTGTAGAACCGAATTTGTGTGGTGTCCACATAGTCACAGATTCGATTCTAGGGGAATATATGGTCGATGCAAAAACTTCACGGTTCTTCCTCTGAAATAGCTGGAGTCTGAGTGGAGGTGGAGGCTAAGGGCCAGCCTTTTTCTCTCTTATTTGGACTCTAGGAGGATCAACTAATCCGGGGACATGGAACAGCCTGCCCCTCAAAAAGTACCTCAGTCTTAAACCGAGGTTCCTGTGGGTGCTGAAGAGCACTCTAATTGGCTGCATGAATGCCAAGTAAAAAGCTAGGTATTTGGGGGATTGGAGGGAGAGGTAGGGGTTGGATAGGGCGGCAAACTCAGGGTTGCTTCCTCATTGTGGGTTCCCAGTAGTTAGGGCTCATCATAAGAAGAAGGTGTTGAGGGACCTCTGGGACAAATTTAGATGAGGTAGAGATGTCCTCGCCACCCTCCTAGCTCACCCCTAAGCTGCTGGCCGGGCTCAGGGCAGCGGAGGTCTTTTGCCAGAGCGGCAGGCCGCCTTTCGCGAGGAACTCATGAGCCTGGCCATCGGCAGCAAGCTTGGCGGTTACTCATTGCCTAATTCGATTCAGGCTGGCTGGGTCCTGGTAACTTTTGGGTGACCCTGACGAAGACAAAGCCAGGACGCGGCCTTTGTATGGTAGAATCTCCGCTAGCGGGCTGGGCGGGCGGGAGCCCTGCTGCCTGGGGCCCTCAGCCCAACTCGGAGGCCTCCTGGTCCACTCGCTCCTTCTGCCATGGCCCCGCTCTGGGGATGTGTGCATTTATTCCTCCTTGGCCCGTGCCCACTTTGGGGGGCTGCTTTCAGGCGGGGGCGGCGAGTGGAAAGGCCATGGAAGGTTAGCCAAGTCAGTGGCAGACAAAAGCTGGGATTACCTGCAGGCGGCAGGGGTGGAGGTATTGGAACTACATTAACATCTGGCGGGTGCCCTCAAATGTGCCGCAGCGAGTCACTTGATTACACGTATGTTATTTAGTTAATTTGTGAAAATTATGAGATGCTCACCAACCCGGTGATAAACTCGCTCCCTCGCCATTGGCTGGCCTGGTCACATGGCCGCCCAACTTTATTCAGTTGACAGCAAGTAGGAGGGCCCTATGGAAGGAGAAAAAAAGACAACACGAGAAAAATTAGTATTTTCTACCTTCTGAAATTAATGGCCATGAGTTCGTATATGGTGAACTCCAAGTACGTGGACCCTAAGTTCCCTCCGTGCGAGGAGTATCTGCAGGGCGGCTACCTAGGCGAGCAGGGCGCCGATTACTACGCCGGCGGCGCGCAGGGCGCCGACTTCCAGCCCCCAGGGCTCTACCCGCGGCCCGACTTCGGTGAGCAGCCCTTCGGAGGCGGCCCGGGGCCGGGCTCGGCACTGCCGGCGCGGGGTCACGGGCAAGAGCCGGGCGGCCACTACGGCGCCCCGGGAGAGCCGTGCCCTGCGCCCCCCGCGCCCCCGCCGGCGCCAGGAGCCCGGGCCTGCAGCCAGCCCGGCGGCCCCAAGCAGCCACCTCCCGGGACGGCGCTCAAACAGCCGGCCGTGGTCTACCCCTGGATGAAGAAGGTGCACGTGAATTCGGGTAAGGCGCGGGACCGGGGTCCCCTCGGTTGCCCAACCCCCCCCCGCTGGAGCCCCAGCCTGGGGCCCCGAGAGGAGGATGCAGGGGCGTGGGGGGCTTCAGTGGGCGCCACAATTATCCTCTCCATATATTTTTATAGCTGAGGGAGCAGGCCCAGAACCATGTGGCTGATTTCTTGGTTGTGGGCGCAAAAGGGGGTGTGGATGGGGTTGGGGAGGGGGAGGACTCCATTTTTAGAGCGCAGGGAGCTTGGGGACGAGAGGGGCTTTCCAAAATGCTCAAGGACTTGGGGGGGTCCTAGGTGGGCCTAGGAAATGGGGGCATACTGGGGAATCCTCGTCTGGGGGCGTGTGTGGGTGTGGGGGCGCGCGTGTGCGCCCAGGGGGACAGGCGGGAAGGAGGAAGCGAGCCCGGGAGCGCGCGGGGAGGGCCGGGGCCGCGGGGCGCGCCAGGAAGTGAGCAGCGGCTGCGAGGGGCCTAACCAGTGACCGAGCGCTGACCTAGCTCCACTGTCTATTTTGTCTCGCAGTGAACCCCAACTACACCGGTGGGGAGCCCAAGCGGTCCCGGACGGCCTATACCCGGCAGCAAGTTCTAGAACTGGAAAAGGAATTCCATTTTAACAGGTATCTGACGCGGCGCCGTCGGATCGAAATCGCACACACCCTCTGTCTATCCGAGCGCCAGATCAAGATCTGGTTCCAGAACAGGAGGATGAAGTGGAAAAAAGACCACAAGTTGCCCAATACGAAAGGCAGGTCCTCCTCCTCATCGTCCTCTTCATCGTCCTCCTGCTCCTCCTCAGCTGCCCCAGGCCAGCATTTGCAGCCACTGGCCAAAGACCACCACACGGACCTGACGACCTTATAGGAGTGGGACCTTGGGCCCATCCTTCCCTCTGCTCCCGGCCGAGCCGAAGCTACTAGGGCAGCTGGGCCTGCTGTCACCTCGCAGGGCTCTAAGGTACTGTGGGGGTGGACCTGGGACAAGCAGGCCGCCCTCGGTCTAGGTTAGCATCTTGCCCGAGGGCAGGCCCCTCCCTGGATTGGGGATGGCATGGGAAGGGTTGGGATTGTCTATATTATTCTATGGCAGGAGCTACTGAGAACATAAAACCTTGGTGAGTCATTAAACTCATGAAAATCTCAGCTGTTGATTTTGAATTTACAAATGAGGGTTGGACGCTTTACCACTGTGTGTATTTGGACCTGCTTCCTAGCCCTCTCCCTCCAGTGTGCTTTGTAGGTTAACTGTATGGGAGAGTTAAGGCAGAAAATTGGCCACCTCAATGCTGGGCCTTTTGATGGAAATAGGAGAACAGGGGTAGGATTTCTGGATTTTCTGGCTTGTTTTATAATCTCAGAGTGATTTTAAAAAAGAAGAAAAACAAAACCATTTGGCCTTAATGGACCCATACCCAAAGAAATGAGGCTCAGAAGGAAAGGGTTTTTATAGTTTAGCTGGTTTTCGCCTAAATGTTTATTTGTTGAAAAGTGGGGCACAGATATAACTGACACTGTCATGCCAAAAATCAAGATGGTGAAGGAGTCTGAGTTTCAGGGAGCAGAGTCACACACTTGTGGACTTACTTCTGCTTTTAACAGGCCTTTTGAACTCCTCCGCCTATCCCCTTTCCAAAATGGGTGTAGGAGACCCTTAACCTGTCTATAAAGAAGCAAAGGATCCACTCAAAAGTTATTCTTAAAAATATATTTCCATGTGTGATTTCCGCCATGCATAGAACCAGTTCTGAGTGATTAAAGGAAGGGGGGTGGGTGGGTGAGAAACAAATGGTCCAACATTTTCCTTCTGGGGAAAGAAAACAAAACCTCTATGTTCTGGGTCGTTAGATAATGACTAAATTTTCTTTTCCAACTGGATTCCAAATGCACCAAATACACCACATAGCAGTATTTTCTAGGAATTGAAGCATGGCCTATTGGGGGAGGGGCAGTGCACTGTCAAGACAGTGGAAAGGGGAAGAAGTCTTGCTTTTAAAAAAGAAGAGGGAAAAAAAAGTCATTTGACTCCAGAAGTAAACAAAAGTTGATCTTAGGATTTCCCCCTTGGAGCTTTTATTTTTAAAAACAGATCTAGAAGAATGTTTTCTGCAGTCCATTAATTAGAAGCAGAAATTTTTTAAAAGTGTGAAGGTCTTCAGGCTCTCTTCTTTGCCTTGAGAATAGTGGTTTAAAAACAATCATCCCCCAAACAACAAGGAGTAATGTTCTATAGATATTTTTTTGATGCCTTCCTTGAGAAGGGTTCAAAACTCATTTTTCTAAAATGCTGACCCTGAAGGATAAGGGGGAAAGAGGGAAATGTAACAACCAGAGATCATAAGCTCTAATGAAACAAGACTTCAAGAGTTGAAATCTCCAATTCTGGGTCTCCTTGTTACAGCTACTGAAAAGTGACAAGAGTGGAAGGAGGAGAGATGAGCTTGAAAGGGAGATACAGAATGAATCTCTCCCTCCCCAGTGTATTTGAATAATTTAGAAGGTTTCAGAGGTAATTTTAAAAATACCCTTAAGAGGAGGGGAAAAGGAGGAGGAGACATCCTTTAGTTCAGTGTCTCCTGAGAACTGTGGGCAGGTATTCACTGGGGTCCCTAGGCTGAAATCCAGCTTCTCTAAAGTGTCTTCCAAGCCTCAGCCTTTTGTATTAGACCCTGGGGACAGCTCTTTGTTTCTCCTTGGGGTGAGCCTGGCTCTCAGACTTGCACATGGCAATCCCTGAATATCTCCATGTCGGGATATTAAAGATGGATATTCCTGCATTATTCGCATCATTGTTTCTATGACAAAAAGCACAGAGTTCATACATAGTCAAGATGTCTCTTTTCTGACGCCCTCACGTTGAGAAGCTGAAAAGGTATTTTACTGAAGTTCGGCTAAATTACAGAATCAGGTTCATCCAGAGGACAAATTTTCTATTCGATTAGCTGTATTTCAGCCAGAGGACTGACCTCTAAACCCTTAACCTTTTGGACTCTAACTACCCTTCTTTTTCTCTCTCTTACATGGAGAGCTGCTGTCTTTGGTTGTAGCATTTGAAAGGAGCTGCTATCCTTAGGCAAGTTGGAAAGTTACTAAGATTCTTCCTTTCCAAAAACTAATCTCTGGATACATTGACACTTCTGAGAGGGAGTATATATTTTCACAGCTACATATATAAATAATATAGAGATTGTTATATCAATTTCTCCTCTCCTCTTAATGTGGGTTACTCAACCCAGCTTCAGGCCAAACATCCTAACTGTTCAACTGCCTTCCCCAAAGGCAAACCAGGAGGCATGTTTTCATGAAGAAAAGCCAAGCTCCTTCTAATAGCCCCGCTCCTTTGGAAAGTAACTTAATCAGAGAAACAACTTCTTTGTTTATAAATCTCAGCAATCTTTCTCAGCTTGGAGGGATTGCCTTTTGAAATGTTAATGACTCCTGAATGGCCCAGAGGGCAGCCCCCAATCCTGAGGTCCTACTCGGACCCCAGCTTCCATTTAGGCCCACAGACCTGAGGCAGGGAAGGGGCAGGGTGCCCCAACCACTCAGGGCAGGGACAGGAATGAGTTTCCATCCGGAACGTGCTCTGGAGATAGCTAGATGTGGAGAGGCTCCAATGCCCATTTGCTATTATTTGTTTCCAGTTTGTTTCCCCAAATATGAGCCAGAAGTGTTTGTGTTGATGCTCCCCCCTCCCCCCCAGCTGTCTTGGGTTTGTGACTGGGGGGAGGGAGTGAAGTGTTTGCTGAGGACACTGCTCCTCGCGCTCCCATCCACTTTGTCCATTGCAGTCTTTTGTTGTGAGATGACATTTTACTCAGCCCCATGGTGTCTGTTCACACAAGATGCTTTTTCTAATAGAATGGACCAATGTTTTGCTGCCAGTGATTAAAGTATTATTTATACTAATTGTTGCCTGTAGTTTTGATGTAATTCATTGATCTATATTTGAAATAATAAAAAGTGTAGCAAAACCTCCTTTTCTGTTTTGTGCCTCCACAGACACAATCTTTATGAGTCTTTGCCAGCTGACATTCAGTGTAAACAATTGATTATTTTCTGCTATGCGCTTAATGTGTGAATGTTAAGCTATGCAAGGCTTGGTAATCCTATCATTACCCTCCCCCGCTACTTTCAATTTGGCCACCAGATTTTGAGAATAACTGGGAAGCCTGGGTAAGAGTTAGGCCGCAGTGTTTGGCTTTAGGAAAGGAAAATAAGTCACTTGCCCAGGCTAAATAAATAGTGGCTTCTGGTTGGGGCTTTGCTTAGACCCTGTCAGTTCCTCACTAATTTAGTATTGGAGCTATCAGAGGAGCCAGTGTAAAGTGATGGGTAAGAGACCCCCCCCCCCCCCAAATGCCAGAGAATGAAGGATGCTGGGTTGCAGGCTAGCTGGGGCAGATCAGTGGCTGTGCTGACCTGACCCCACCGACTCCTTTCTTTTTGGGGGCTGCTTAGCCCCAGTGGTGTCCCCTCCACACCTCAGAATACAATCAACACTCCCCACCCTAAAAAGGGGTCTGTGCTCTATTTTTATCCCCAGGGCCTTTTAACATCTGACTTGTCTTCTCTTGAAGAAAGGCCAAGTCAGGAGTGTCCCCCCATAAAAAAAAATCAGGGGCGGGGTGAGGGGAGCCTTGTTCGTGACAGGAAATGAGCAGAGTGCATAAACTCAGACATGTGTCCTTAATATATATGGAAGGGCTCGCCCCAGACGCGTGGACATGTGTATTTATAAGTGCACAGACAGAAGTTTAAATATTCAGACACGTTTTATGATTGTCCTCTGCCCGTCTTCTGGCTAATGGCTCCTCCTGTGGCCACCGATACATCAGTAGCACGACGCGGATCGAGTCCCGGGCAGGGACGTGGCGGCCACTGGCGAGCCACCCGGGGAGCGCAGCGCGCTGTGGGGGAGCCAGGGCCGCCCCGGGCCGCGCGCCATGCTGGGGACCAATCCCCGCCCCCCCCCCCACGCGCGCCGGCAGCCGGGAGAGGGCCTTTCATAACCGGGAGAATTTGCAAAGTGCAAGGAAGATGATAAGAATAGATTTCTACAAGTCCCGACCACGTGATTGGCGAAATAATTAATTCAGCACGTCCCTTAAGAAACACGGAGTCGTCATTAATCTGCCACGCAAAGGGCTCTCTCCGACTCGGAAAGTGCAGGGTTCCCGAGAATATCACCCTCCGAGGGGGGCCGTGCGCCCCCGGCCTCCCACCACCCCGGCCCCGCAGTGGGCGCGGGGCGCAGCCGGCAGGTAAATATTTGGGCGACTTTTATTTCTTCAGATTTAAATCCTTAATGAACTTAGCTGTCAGGGCCGCTGACAAATAGTTCCCTTTGCTTCCTGATTTGGAACCGCGTGCTGGCGAGTTGTTAGTGGCTTGGATGGTGACCTTTGGCGTTCAGCGCCGCTTTGCACTTAAGAAGAATTATCGAGAGAGGCTGCGCGCGCGCGCGTGCGTGTGTGTGTGTGTGTGTGTGCACGTGTGAGCGTGTGTGCATGCGTGTGCGAGGGTGCACGGGCTGGGGGTGCGCGCCCGGACAACAGGACTTAGGAGACCCGCCTGGCTGGGGGACGCGCCTGGCGCACGCGGGGCTGAGGTTGCCCGGTCGCCTGTGTCTACCCGGAACAATGGTTGCTGTCACGGCATCTGCCGCCTATTCTTAAACCGGTGAGAAAGGCCCCAGCCCTCTTTTCAAGCAAGGGTCGTAAATTTTTCTTTGCGTCATAATAGAAGGCTATAAAATCGAGTTGAAATTTTACCCCAGGCAGGTTTTAACCACCAGATACTGATTTCCGAGTTTCTCCCACTCTTCTCCCTCCTCACTCAGGCTCGGCTGCTTCTGTCACCCTAGTGAGGTGTCTCTCCTTCATTTTTACTTTTGAATTTCTTTTTCTTTTCTTCTATTTTTCAATAAGGGTGGAAATAGGCAGGAGGAAGAGACCCCAAGCGCCTCCGGGAGAGAGTGGAGGAGGTCAGGGCTAGTGTTTAGGCTGTCTCTCCTGCTCCCTCCCATTTCAGCCTTTTCTTCCACGTTTCAAGAAGATTCTGAGCCACTCGGCTTTTGCCCCCTGAGTCCCAGGCTGAGAGGAACCGGGCTGGGTAGTGTGGGTTCAACTCTTCCTGCCT